GGAGACTGCAAGGGAAAGAACAAATGAGGCAATTGTGATTATAGATGAAGAAGTGGTGACAAGTCCAATGATCGAGCCAATGGTTGAAAAGCCAGCGGACTCCACAGTAGAAACAAGGCTGCTTATGGACTTGTCAGCCAATGTAGGCTTCAACAGTATATTTACATCTTCCTTGGGTGGAGAGCAGGATTTTGGTGAAGATGTGGAGAACGTTGATGAAACTACTGGACTATATTTTGATTTTGAAGATGACATAGAAGAAGAAGAGTCAGAGTTCCCTATTCAAGACGTTCCACAGCCTACTCCAGAATYTCTAWCTGCCGATCTACCTACTGAGCCTGAATCGAGTGCTCCAAATCCAAATGTTGATCCTACAGAGATTTTCACAGAGAAATACATTCCTTTCCACATCAGAGCAAACTATTTYGGTTATGATCGTGATCGAATCCGAGAGCCGTATCTAGAAGATATTTACTTTGGTATTTTCATTCGCCACCAAAAGCTGATAAGTGGTGACAGAGTCTTGGGAATCCACAAAAAGCCAAAGGAATTCAGAACTGAATATAGACATTTGCTGAAGTCTAAATGTCAGCCCATCAGTCAGGTTCGTACCAAGCACAGAATCGTCTCTATCAAACAAATAGATGCTCAGAGACTCCGAAAGATTTGGTATCCTGTGTTTACTATCACAAGACAGGATGGTCAAATTTGGAGGTTTAGTGAAGCTGATTTCTCTAATATGTACTTAGACGATTTGGAGTATATGTATTTCGAACTCAAAAACATGCAGATCAGAAAAGAAGGAGAACTAGTAGCACTGGAGGCAATTAAAAGATTTATCAGAAGCCAAGTCAAGCTATCTATGGTTATTGATGTTCAAATGGGTCTTGAGGATAGTCAGAAAGTTATTAATCYCAAAAGACCTAATCAAGAGCTTGAAGACATTGATGGCTACCCAGTATACATAGTTCTTGAAAATCCTGAGTTCGGAGTTACTTATTTTGCTCAACTCCAGAAGAAGAAGTTTATGAGATTCAACGAACTAAACAAATACTGTGATGGCACTATTAGGTTGGTAAAAAGGGCTTTAAACTCAAAGTTGGTGAGTGACGAAAAGGCTGTGGATTCTGAGCGAATGAATGCCAAAGAAAGATATCTGTTCGTTAATGCTGTTAATCTGCTCGAAGAAAAACTTCAATACCGAAATGCTCTGAGAAGGTTTGAGAAGATTCTTG